TTTTAAATAGATTTATTTATTTATGCATACAGAACTGGGGTACAGGCCAGAGGTGCAGGGGGTGGGACAGAGTGGGGAGCAGAACAGGCAGATGGATGAAGTACACTGCTGAGGGGAGCAGCGGGAAGACAGGAGAGGTCTGCCGCGCCATGTGGGTCACCTCCGGGGCCCGGGGTTTGGGGTTCGAACTCGCATTGAAGCGGCTACAACCAACTTCCCAATGCTGCACTTTAACCCATTGCGCCACCACGGAGGACCTCCCCTGGAATATCTTCTTATGCTCTTCAGTACCTTCGTCCCTGCAGACTGTTAAACCTAGCTTTAGATTTGGGTTGATTTTGATGATACTTGATAGGTGTCCTTTCATCAGATCTCAGAGGTAGATCTCCTAATCTTTATCCCAACATTGGGTGGATCCAGAGCTCATGGGTGCTCAGTCTACCCCCCACCCCCACCCAAAGGCCCTATCAGTGTTTCTCTGGGGTTCTAGCAGTCATTGGTGTTCACTTGATCCTGTCACTGTTGCAGGATGATATTATATTACTAATAGTTTCCTGCATTTCCTAGCAGCAACTCCCCTCTTATCAAGAAAACCCATCTGTTTACCCTGAAGTAGAACCCTTATAGGAAAGACACAGTACTTGACCCTTCCCCTTTTACAGATTTGGCAGCCTCAAAGGCAAGCAGTCCATTTTTAGTCCCCGTTATGAAATCTTTGATGCCAGCTAGTCACCTGCTGGAAAATAATTTCTCCATCTCTTTACAGATGTAAATACCTCTTGTTTACTTTCAGCCTGCCTCCTTCCCTCCTCTTCGGCTGGAGCCTAAGCTGTCTGAAGACCTTATGCCCCACCCCGAACATAATCCCGCTAGCAGCGTTTCTCAAACTCCTGGGATAGGGGTGGGGAGTCTTATAAAAAATGCTGATTCCTTGTCTCTGGAGAGGAAGCTGAGAGCCTGCTTTTCTCACTTAAACTCAGGTGATACTGATGCTTTAGTCCCAAAACCACACTTTGGGTAGCAAAAGGGTGTGGTAAATGTATGGGAATCTATTTCATTCAGTCAGTAAAAAATGAACTGTCATGGAGTAGATACTCCATGGACTCATAACCTCAAAATGCAAAGAATCCATAGGTTAAAGCCTGCTGCCTCGAAATACAAAGAATTTTTTTTGTGTTTGTCTTGTTAGAGAGCTTTAGGGTTGTTGTTGTTTTTTTTTTTTTAAAGATTTGTTTATTATGCATATAAAACTGGGGTACAGGCCAGACGTGCAGGGGCGGTGAGAGGATTCACCAGAGACAGAGTGGGGAGCAGAACAGGCAGATCGACAAAGTACACTGCTGACGGGAGCAGCGGGCAGGTCAGGAGAGGTCTGCTGCACCCTGTGGGTCAGCTCTGGGGCAGGGATCAAACTCATGCTGAAGGGGCTTTAGCTTCTTAGTGCTGTGCTTTAACTCGCTGCGCCACCAGGGGGGCCTGGTTTTGTTTTTGTTTTTTACTTATTCTTTTTTACAATATATATTGTAAAAAAAATTATTTTTTTTCCACAAAAGCCAAAAGAGTGTACAGTCACAAAGCTCTGTGGAAAGGCGCACTATGACTTCTTGGGGTTTTCCCCTAAAGTTATTTTCTGCATATATTTGTCCCTTTTCTCTTTTTTTAAGATGTCAGCACAGGACCCTCCCTATGGCGCAATGGGTTAGGACGCAGCACTGCAATCTGGCTGCAGCCTCTTCAGTGCAACTTCGATCCCCCGCCCCTGAGCTGACCCACATGGTGCGGCAGACCTCTCCTGTCTCGCCGGCTGTTCGCCTCAGCAGTGTTCTTCGTCGATCTGCCTGTTCTGCTCCCCACTCTGTCTCTGGTAAATCCTCTTACACCCCACATACCTCTGGCCTGTACCCCAGTTCTGTATGCATAAATAAATAAATCTTTAAAAAGAAAGAGAAAACATTCCACCGTGTTCATTGGGTGGCATTGTGTTCCTTCGAGAAGCATCCGTGTTTTATGGAGCACACAGGACCTGTGACTACTTCTTGGCTGCTTCCTAGGCCTGCACAGGCCACTTTCCAGAGAGAATGGAATAAAACAGGCAGGTCCACTGAAATCCACTGCTGAGGGGAGCAGCGGGGAGACAGGAGAGGTCTGCTGGGCCATGTGGGTCAGCTGCAACTCAGGCCATAGTGACGACAGCGCTGAGATTTAACCCTAGGCCATGAGGGAGGCCTCTCACTTTCCAGTCTTTGAATCCTCAGAATTACCAGACCCACAGGGCACCTATGGTGTCCACTGGACCCGCGCTCACCCCTCGCCATTTGCAGCGCAAGCGGCTTTTGCTCTTTCGATTCCAGCCTAACTAGAGTCTAATGACTTCTTTGCGCTCTCTGCCCTCAGCACTCACAAATCGCTCAGACAATCTCTGATTTAGTAATTCGCTATTATGAAACGCTGCATGCCTAAGAACACCAACGGGGTTCCGGACACACTGCCCCAAAATATGGTGTCTTGACATATTGGCTGCCTCAGGCTTGACTGAATCTGAGAAAATGGGAGGTGCAGGGAGGTCTGTGTGACCTTCTCCGGAAACAGGTCAAAACCCTCAGTGAGGCTGAGGCGGGCCCTTCTAGAGCCAGAGGAAAGGCTCTTCCTTATCTCTTAGACAAAGGGCCACCCTTCCCTGCCCCCCAACACCAGGAACCTGAATAACCAGTTGGCTACTGTAAGCTTATGCCTCCTTTGTCCAGTCCTATTTCCCATGACTTTCCACTCTTCCCCAACCTGGCAGAGAAACACACGGGGTTAATAGCCTCTGCGAGTCTTTACTTCTTTATAAAGTTCTCATATGATATCAAACTTAACGTGGAATAAATTTAGATGCTTTTCTCTTGTTAACCTGTGCTTTGTTCCAGAGGCCTGGCCAACAACCAGGAGCTATTTCCTTCCCCTCCTGTATTGAAGGCTCACATACAGCATCACATACACCACTCTGTAGTCAGCTGTACCTTCATCACCTCTGAGTTTCTTTTTCTCAGTGGTCCTCAAGCTTTACAGGGTCTGTTCACCCACAGACTGCTGGGCCCCACGCCCAGTGTCTTGTTTAGTAGCTTGGGGTGGGGGTGTCGAGGGGGAGCAAGACCCAAGAATTTGTGCTTCTTACAAGTTCCCAAGTGCTACTGCTAACCCCAGAACCACACTTGGGGAGCCACTGCTTCATCCTGGAGAATTGTTGACTCCTAAGTGGTCATCTGGTACCTCCCCTGAAACCTAACTGCTCTACAAATGCATCTGAAGCACTTCCTCACCTTCTTCCTCGACAGCATTTTCCATCACCCAATAAATGAGCCTCTGGTCTTTGCTCGATGCTTCCTTTGCTTCTGCCATTGGACCAGCCCCCCGTTTGCTGTGACGACCTCTGTGTATCATGGTGATGTACAACACATCTTCAGCCCACTCTAGACTTTGCTCTTTGAAAGCAGGAGCCAAGTGAAGGGGTCATACATGCCACCCCAAAATAGGCTGCTGAAGGGTATTGACTATTTTGAGGCGAAGGCTTTTGAGAAACTGCAGCTGCAGAAAAAGCCACCTGACCTCCCCTTTGCTACCTCAAAGGGGGTCATAAAATTTCCCTGGCAAAAGACGCCCTCCCTATACCAGGAAGAGAAGCTGACTCTTATCACTAGAGACCAGAGTCAGCTCCAGCCTATACAAACAAACCTCCAAAACAACCCTTATCTCCCTTTGCTTCCCCACATATTTCCTCATCTCTCTTCCATAGTTCATTGCCTCTGTCCCAAGCCCCTTTGTCTCGTCACATCCTCACAATCATCACGCTTCGTGTCGAAAGCTGTGGAAGCTTTGGGGCCTCGTGGGCCCTTTGAGTCTGCCTTTTCCTTCAGAAGACTCCTGTGCAGATGTTTAAAAAAAAAAAATTAAATACGTTGGGATGCTTTTTCTCCTGTTAATCGAATTAAGTTGAGGCCAGCCACAGAACTGAAGAGTGTAGCAGGGAGTTTTCCTTCCCCTGCACAGTGTCAATTCCCTTTGTAGTCCTCAAGTCAGTCACTGGCTCTGAGTGCAGACTCGGCTGCTTGCAAAGGCCAAAGGCCATGTAAATAAGTGGAACTTACTGACCCCGCGGCCAGGTCCAGTCAAGAAAGGCAGCGGCCGCCTCACTGCACATGCTGTTTTTGACTTCTCCATTTTTTTTCAAGAGAAACCCAAAATAATTTCAACTAATTCTGCACTTCCAGTATACCGAGTGGACACCAAGAGCCCACGGGATTCCATCCATTTTCCAGAGCCAAACGAACTCATTCTGTGTTTCTGGACCTTTAATAGTAGCTGGATGGGTGGGCTGGGGAGCATGTGAGCCCATCATAAATCTGGGTCACCGCAGCAGCCATCTGGGGTGGAGGGAACGTACAGGTTGTTGAGAACCCACGGCCTGCCCGGCCCTACACAGGACTGTGGATCTCATCTCATTGACCATACCGCAAGGTGATCATTATCATTCTCCTTTCAGTCCACACTCATTTCACAGATAAAGAAATGGAGGCTCAGAGAGGTCTAGACTCACGGCCTAGTTTTCCCGATTTCTAATCTACCTACTTCCAAGCGCAGGATTTTAGATGGGCTGGGAAGCTGGGCCCTGAGCCTCTGCTTCCAGATAGCTCTGTAGCAGCAATTCCCCACCACAGAAGGTGAGGGTTCCCTCAGAAGGCAGACGCAGGAGGGGCCAGTGGGCCCAGAGCGGGTCCAACCCCTTGGGCATCTTTTCCAGCCACTCCTAGCTTCATGCTCCTCGGGACAGCGGCCGGTGCCAAGGAGCTGAGGCACTTGGGGTCTCTTCCCAACTCCATCTGCCCTGCCCTTGTCCTCTCTCCGTTCTGACTCCTTTCTCAGGGTTCAAGATGTCTGCCTACCAGCCTCGGAGCCCACTTCGTCTTAACTTCTTTCTAGAACCCAGCAGGATAAGGACAGAGATGCAGATGCAGGAGGTGTGTGATTGGAAACCACTTTATTGGAGTGACGATCCCGGAAAGCCGGCGCGTGGGCTGGTGGTCAGCTGGCACCCTCGCCCCCGCCTCCAGGGGGTGTCAGCAGCGCTGGATGCTGGAGCTCACGGCCACTAGGCATCAGGAGCTGCACTCCGCCACCCTTTCGGCTGGAGGGAGAGAGGGAGGGTCAGATGGTGAGCCCTCAGGGAGCTGCCGTCCTCCACCAGGAGCCCAAGACAGGGCGGGTGCTCCCCATTCCTGCTAAGAGGAGTGGCTGGGGCCCCCTTAGCTTTGGTGAGGTCTGTCCTACTCGCCCCCAACCTCCTTACCCTTCTAATGCCCGCCCGAGCTCACCTTAGGAATGACATCCCAGTTGAGGAAAGGGAGCTTCCTTTTGATGGACTAAAACAGAAAAGGAGAACAGGGAGATGCTGTAAGGCAGACGAAGCCCTCCCTGCCTGGGCCTGCGCAGCGAGACGTCTCATGCTCCCTGGTGGCTCCCGGCCCTGCTGTGTGCCTTGCATTGTCTTACGGGCGTGCGTCCATCTGGTCTTCACAGCCGCCCTCTGAGGTAGGGACTAACCTCATCCCCACAACCCAGATGAGGAAACCGAGGCCCCGAGAGCTGAAGACATTTGCGCCGTAAGTACGCAGAGGCCTGAGGTGCGAGTTCCAGTCCCCACTCGGTCACTGACGTCACCTTCTAGGCCATAGCAGCCTCCTGGGAGTCTCTCTCAGCTGACAACACACTTGGCAGCATCACAGCAAGGAAACAACGCCCTCTCAGAGCTTGGGAAAGACCCCCCCATGGGTCAAGGATAGTGAGGGGTACCCAGGCGCCTACCTCAAAGAGGGCATGCCAGTTCAGGAATTCTTCTGTCTTGAAAGCCTGTGGAGAAGGGAGCCAGGGTGGGGGGTCAGTTCCAGGAGAGGACAGTGCTTAGGCCCTAGCCTTCTGGAAGAGGCCACAGGACCGTGGCGCCCCCAAAGCGCTCATCCCCCTGTGACATGGGTCCCTGTGGTGCAGCCTGAAGAATTATACTCACAGATCTCAACTTGTCCAGGTTCAGGAATTGGGGGTTAAAGGTCTGGGGAAAGAAACAAGGTGTTAAGTCACTAAAGGATATGAAAAGGCCAGGGACAGACTCGGGCTGGACTGTGGGGAGCTTACCTCAGGTCCTGAGGCATAATTACCTAGGGTGGTTCCTTCCTGGAAAGTGAAGGAGAGAAAGGAGCCCAATGATGACCTGATAGCAAGTACCTCGGACCTCAAGCCCTGCTGGCCAGCGCTGCCCCCCTCCTCAGGCCAGTCCCCAAGGCCGCAGCCTGCATTCCCCACATGGCCTCGGTCACCCCAGTCTGGTCCAGGGTTGGGAGGTGGAAGCACAGAGGGGGACAAGGGGAGAGGTGGAGCTCAGAGAGGCACAGCCCAGCCTGTGGCCCCCACAGAGGCATCAGCCATCCTCCCAGAACAAGGAACTGGTCTGCAGTGGACTTGGGGTGCTCCCGAGAGACCCCCACCTCAGCCCTAGAGCTGGGTAAGGAGAGCGGTGTGCGGGTAGAGGCCAAGCTGGTGAGGTGCCCCGGCTGCCTCTAACTGGGCTGTGGGTTCATCACCCCCAAGGGGACGCCCTTCCCCCATTCTGGTGTCCCACATGTTGACCCATGACCTCAGGGCAATCCCCTCCTCCCTACTCCCTATTCCTCTTTCCCCACAGCAGCTGTCCCAAGCAGCTGCCCCCAAATATTTCCATCTCTCCTACTAGTTCACCTTGTTTTTTCATTTGAGTCAAATGTTTTTAATTATTAAGAATTCGCAGTGTCCAAGTTCCCCTAAAAATTAAAACCCCAATCCCCACCCCAGCCATACTGGGAACGCCCCCTCACCCGCCCCCCAGAACAGCCCCTAGCAGCCAGGGCAGGTTGGCTTCCCCTCCGAGGCCCCACCCCCCACTAGCTGGCACTGCTGGGGTGCATCCTGAGCAGTGGCATCTGTCACCCCCTATTTTAGGCCTTTAAATCCTTCATAGACATCCCCCCCACCTGGGAGAAGTTGAGGGGAAAGAGCCTCAGGATTCCTCCTCAGGGCTTTGGGGATGATCTGGGGTCACAAAGGTGAGGCTGAATTCAGAGGACCAACCTCAGCCCCCACCCCCCCAGGAGTCA